TCGAGGGTTGGCACCCCCGAGATTTGAACCCGGGACCTTCGCTCATTGCGGTGTCCTTACTGTTTTTGTAGTTTATGACAGTGTACAGGAGCGTGGACAGTAAAAATTCGTCGGACATGAACGGAGTATAAAGGGGGTTAGAATTCTAATAGCGTAAGGAGAAAGTAGTTAGGAGCAGCTTGCGCCCACACAAGTTTCGCAGATTTCTATCGAACGCCCAGGCCACTGGATCCCAAAATAGAACTGTAGACGCTGCAAAAATGGGCCAGTGGGATCTGACCAGGAATGTGCAATCACACAGAAAGTAAGCATGGTTTAGTTGGCCATCATATGAAATATTACTTGACCTTCCAGTTTTGCGATTTAGACTTTTCTAGTTAGCCTCTCCTATCCGCGTAGACATTTATATGGAGTTCTTTACCCGCAGTTCGTGTGTTAAGTTTTCCATAAGATCGGTGGCTGATTCCATAACATTGGAGTCAAGCACTCAAGGTGTTTGTCTAGTACTTTTGCTGTCTTATTCTCCAGCGAGCATATGTGGCGGTGTCAACATCGAAGCGTCGCTTCGGCCTGAGCTCATTAGGCATTCTTACGACGTACCCGATTCACTGTCACCGGCTGGGCTTCAGAACTGCAAAAGCGCTATACACACTAGTATGTTCCTAGATGTAATCCTCCGGAAAATTTCTGTCACGCTAGCATATGTAAAAATGACTCAATTCCAGTGCATGCTTCGATAAACTATCCTAGTTCACTTGTCGAAGAAAAGGGTTACCAAACATGATCACGAAAACGCTTCGGCAATACCCGACGTATGCCTTATGCGGATTGAAATCCGGGCCATAATTTCACCGTTGATCTGATGATGCTTTCGAAGTGAGAGATGAGTGTGGTTAACGATAATTGATAAGGCAACTTAGTCCTTGGCTGTTGCCGGTTGACGCCACACAAGGTGTCCTCTCTCCGCGTTCACTTTTAACCCGGAAAAGGCGCATATACTGACCAAAAGGTTCAAGTTTTGCTGTGTGGCTATTTCAGCCGTGGCATTCAACGCATGATGAGTCACAGGACCATTAAGAGCAATTCAGGGGGCATTTAATCAGAAAGGTGCCTTCATTTCAACCTGTAGTTGTGGACTGTATGACGCGTTCGCGGTTTGTCAGGCGTGGTGAATAAGCAATCGTGGAGGCGGCAATATCTCTTGGCCTAGGTGGATACCAAATTGACAGGTTGACTACATTTAACAGGGTCATCCGTCGTAGCTAATGTTCACGCCATTCAGTTAAGGCTTCAGACACGCTTGTTTGGCGCAGCCTCTAAACTGCAAACTGGTGTTCATGCATACGCTTAAGTCCGATCCCAGAAACAAAAAAACCTGCTTAGTGTCTTAAACCCAGGTAAACATTCTTTTTTTTTAGACCAACATTGTACATTCAAGCAAACAGAGATGTCTCTAGACGAGCTATTAAATACGAACTACTACTTTTTAATTTGAGCCACCATTTTTCCTCGCTCTCTACTCGCATGTAAATGTTCTAATATACACGTCGGTTAGCCTACTTCGCCCATTATAAACCGATTCTTATCCCTCTTTGTTTATTTGATATACAATAAGGTCATGAGGGCACAAGGTCACAAGGCTAACGCTGTTTTGAATGCCGTAAAATTTGGCCTATATTCGACGAATCTTTCTAGGACATTTATCCATGATGTCGAATATTGCAGTCATTATCGAGTATAGATTACGCTTTTGCTGAAAAATGTGGAATTATATTTTAAAAATAAAGCGCAACACTTTCTCCCTCCCTCTGTCTCCCTCAAAGCATGACTTCTGTAGGACATAATTTCGTACTACAAGGATGGTTAAAATAAAATTCAGCAAAATGTATTACTCAGGCGGCAAAATTCTGCAGGAAATGCTATACTAGTCAAATGCTGATCTCTTCCGGCGATACGTAATCGCCGAGCTTTTTAATTGAGATCCAACACGTCGTGTAGGGCTAATAATTCTAGGAATTTTAAAAGCCCTGCTTAGGTAGTATCGCCGATTTTAAATCGTATTTAAAGGTGAAGGTCAACTAAGGACTGGACAAACGACAATGCATAGAAAGTGCTTTTCTGATAAGTTCGTTCAGCTCAAGTGACAAGGACTACCATTCTTTTACGGAGGGCAAACTGGCCAATTTCATGGGAAGTTGCTTAGACTACGGCAGACCTGCTACCTTTCCCACATCCGCGACTATTTAACGGTTAGACAGTCGGGACAAGTATAAATGGGTATAGACGCAATAACTAACAGTGAAATGCGGTCCGTCTGTACACGCCACACGCGAGCTGGTTACTAAATACGCACATACGGAGAATTTTTTTAGCTTGCAGGAACGCTAGTGCCATAGCAATCACCGTAAGGAGCTCCTAAAGCCTAATCCTCAAATCTCAACAGTTGGAAGTTGCTTACATTCCCACCCTGACAGTAAAAAGTGTAGAAGGTGAATACAAGATCCAAGCCGGAACGCCCTAACTTGCACCTACACTGGGACTCCAAGTATCTCCTTAAAATGTATTTTAACAGAGCTTTTATGGCCGGAAAATTCACCAAGGTGTTGTTTTTAAGGGCTCATGTGGAAATCAGGGTATATTTAAGTTGGGCAGCTAGTTCTATACTGCTGCCGCAGCCCAAGTCCGCAGGCACTCACCACTGCCTACCGACACAAACATATCAAAATTTCCTATACCAATTAATTTTTCGAGAAACAAAACAACCTGTCTGAAATTCTAAAAGGCATGGGGAATTTTATACAGGTTCTGCCAGACTAAAAAAAGTATTCGCTTGCTAGGCCTCGTGTTTATCACGCACCATGCGATCGGGTGCCGTGCTAAGGAAAGGAAAATGGACCCTGTTAAGTTTTCAACTTAGACGTACCAAAACCTGGCCTAAAGTTTAACAGAGCAAAAAGGCCTTTCTCAAAAGACGGATTTTAAAAAGTTCGGTTTTTGCATGGAAAAAAAGCAGAAAATATACCTACCTTTACAGCCACCATTTATTTGATCACGCTCAATAGGGAGGGTGGATAAACAGTGAAACTCGATCCGACCCATTGGAGCTCCAAGGCACTTGGGTTCGGCATACATATCCAGAAACCGGTGCTCGATGCGACGTTGAAGCACCTAAAAGGAAAAACAGAATTCAAAGTTGGACATATTTGTAGATCGGTGCGGCTCCTACATCTATCAAAAGGGGCTCATGAACCATATGCAAAAATAGTCTTCTTCAGTAAAACTGCAGACAGCGCTTAAATCTGACTATGACTAATACAATAGACTACATATCTGATGAAAGGTAGGGGACTGGGGGATTTAACACACATTTGAGGTTGTTTGTTTAGTTCATCAGGTTGACCTGAGGCCCAAAATGCTGTTAATTAGAATTGAATTCCGTTCAGATCACTATACAGGCAGAAAGTAGAGGCGGAAATGGGTAAAATCCAGTGTTAGTTGATATCTGAGGAATTTCCTACGCCATTAAACGCTGTCGAAAGGAACTTCTTGCATACACCCGTTGCACTATAAAAGAACATTCATGAAGAGCCGGAACTTTGTAATTATATCTGTTCACAAAACGGAAAATTTTGTTTTGCGTCCATAAAATTGAGGTTGGTGTAAGTATGAGATAAAGCATGGGATAAAGCAGGGAACCCGTTGACTAGAGGCAGTGTCTTGAACACAATTTCCGAAGGTCCCGGGTCCAAATCTCGGAGGTGCCAACCCTCGAGATTGGGTATGACAGGCTGATGACGGCTAATAAGCCA